AAAAAAAAAAAAAGCAAGGCAACCGATTGAAATTTTCTACGAGTAACGAGGAAGTATAAATATCATCGTTATTTAAATGAAATTACATTAATGACAGTATACGTGTAACTTTAATTTTATTGGGATCTCTAGCACTTGAATACGCTATCTGGTGGTTAAATTGAAAATTAGATTAGATAGGTCGAATTGTTACGCCACATCCCTACCAAAGATACCAATATAATATTATATATAAATTAATATTAAAATACATACAATATTTAAATATAATTAAGCCTTTAAGTTGCACGCTTGAATTAACTCGAATGGCGTTGTATTACGTTGAACCAAAATTGTTCTTTAAAAGGTTAAACGTAATAATTTATTTATTAATTTATTAGATAATACATTAAGAAATAAATTTTGATAATATTGTTAAGAAATTACTGTATATTATTGTGAACCGTTGATAGTTCTCATCATAGTTCGTATTACGGTGCAAGTAGAGAAAACGTGAAACAAGCCGAACGAGTTCAACCCCATATATACGGGTACATAGAATCATTATAGCAAATGCGTCTACGAAAAGAAAAGAAAAGAAAAGAAAAGAAAAGAAAAAAAAGAAGTAACGCCATTTTTGGTTGTGGGATAACGGCCAAAGAGATTAGATCCTTATAATAGTCTTTTACGTTAACGCTACGAAATAAGGAAAGAAATAGAAGTAGTACCGTTTGTTACGAATGACACGTAATACTAGAAACGTTACATGTATTTCTAACTCTAACATATAATATAGTATTATATAATATACATATAATTATATATAATAGATAGTATAGAATATTTTCTAATTTTATCTAATAAGTCAAACACAAAATGGCATACTCGTATTTACGTTAACAGACCAAATAGTAGTTTATTAATTCTTCATTATGTTTCTGGATCTTTAAGTACTATAAATTTTCAATAGATGGTGTTGTATTACAATTCAGTTATTTCACGTTTTTTTCAGGTTTACATATGACATAACTAACCTTACTTTTTATATTTTTTTGTGGATTATTGTTTTATATATTCCATTTTAATTTGTAGTATTATTTTGTGTGTTGTTATTTATATATTATATATTTATTATATTTAAAAGTTATTTAAGTTTCTAGATACTGTAAGTTTTCAATAGATGATGCTGTATTACAATTGTTTTCAGATTTATCTATGACATAACTAACCTTACTTTTTAGGGATGTTCATTTAAAATATACATCGATGTTTTTTTTCGATGCATCGATCGGAAAGATTGCAATTTAAGATTTTCTCGGATATACATCGATGTATATTTTAAATGAACATCTCTACTTACTTTTTATATTTTTTACTATATTATTATTTTATATATTCCATTATAATTATAATATTATCTTACATGTTGTTATAATTTATTAAATATAGTTTATAGAAATATATTAAATGAACATTTAATAACAAAACTACAGCAACACGTAATCGAAAAAACACCCTCTAATAAAATATAAATAAAGACAAAATATAATCTAATACAAATTATCCTTTATATTAACAAATTTCAACAATAATAAATAGAAGAAGAAAAAAAAAAGCTAATTACATACGTGTAAAACGGTAAACTTTCATTAATAGTTAATAGATACAGGTAAATACTTAACATATACTGTATTCTTAAATCTCCCTATACGAAGATTGGTCCCGGCCTCGTTTGAACATTTTTTTTCTTTTTTTATCTTTTTCCTTTCTTCCCTCGATCCCCATCGATGTTTCTTCTCTCTCATCTCTTTCCATCCATGTCGAATAAGAAAATATCTTCCTTGGAGAACGGTCGACTACTATTTTCCCTTCTCCTCCTCATCGTCCACCATCTTCCTTGTAACGGTTGATTCAGGCTTTCCGTTACACCAGACCTCGACCACAGAAGCGTCTGTCTATTCCTTTCCCTTACCTTCCCTTCCCTTCTCTTCCCTTCCCTTACCTTACCTTTACTTCTCTTCCTCTTCCTCTTCTTCTTCTTCTTCTTCTTCTTCTTCTTCTTCTTCTTTCTATTTTTCTTCTTGTTTTTATCTTCTTTTATTTTTACCCTTACTATTTCTTTTCTTTTCTTTTCTTTTCTTCCTTACTTCATCTTTTTAAACCCCCCCTCCTTTTGCAACTTTTACACGAACACCTTTAAAGTAGCAAAAGCAACTATTTTTCTTCTATGAGAAAAAAAAAAATACTATGAAAAATACAATCGAATGAGAAATAAAGAATAAAACAAAACTAACATTACCAACGATTGTTTTTCCATAGTTTTTTGTTTTTTTTTTTTTTTTACTACTTTTTTTTTGTCTTTTACTTTTCCTCCGTTTTTTTTATTCTTTTCGTTGTAAACTTCGATGACTTTTTATGTTTATTTTTTTTTTTCTTTTGTTTATTTCAAAGAATTTCCATAAAATTGGAATAGGAATAGTATTCCTATTGTAAAAAGTACTATTGAACGACTTTGTGTTTAAACAAAAATATATATATATATAAGAATAATAATGGGGTAAAAATATTCTACACACAAACACACATACACACATACACATACACAGACTCTTTGAAAAATATTCTTTTTTGCATAAGTATGAGTATCATCTAGCATAGAAACAAAGAGCTTTTGATTTCTAAATAAAATAATCAATAGATGTTTCGTTTTTTAGAAACTACATTGATTTTTACTTGCAAAATGAGATTCATTCCTAGTATAATAACTTTGATTTTATTTTTATGTTTTTTGTTGTTATTATTGTTGTTGTTGTTGTTGTTAAAAACATACATATATTTATGATAGATTTGTTTGATTTATTTACAGAACAACATTACGCGGCAGCCGATTCTAACAGTTCAACACCAGCTAAAAGTTTTGTACCTTGTAAAGTTTGCGGTGACAAGGCAAGTGGATATCATTACGGTGTTACAAGCTGCGAGGGTTGCAAGGTAAGTAAGCATCAATGTTTTATTTATTTATTTTTTGTTTTGTTTAAATAAATCATCGCTAATCTGATAAACCACCCATTTACAAAATTATTATTATATTATTTTACGATTTACATTTTTTTTTTTTTTTCTAAATCAACTCGATAATTATATTTAACACTAGATTTACGAATTGAGCCAATATTTGACTCGTTGAACATTTGATTATTATATATTTATCAAATGTAAAAATACTATTTTTTTAAAAACTTCAATTGGTTTTTAGTTACGTAATGAAATATACGTAAATGTTAGTTCCATTCTTTTGCTCAACCCTTCCATTCAAACAATGTTTGATTAAATCATTAAAAAATAATGAACAAAATGTGTTAATATATATTATATATTATATAATAATTTATAAATATAATACATATTGTATATATTATTTATAATAATATTTAATAATAATTATATATTTATGAATATATTTTTTGAATTATTTTTAAATATAAATATAGTAATATAAATTTTATAATATATAAATTTAATATATATATATATATATATACTTCTCAATATAAATATAATAGAATTTTATGAAACTTAATATAAATTGAAAAACAAAATCTATAAATAATTTCTCTCTCTCTCTCTCTTTCTCTTTGTCTCTGTCTCTCCTTTTCTTTTTTTCTTTTAATTTTTTTCTTTAATTTTCTCTTTAACTCTTCTTCTTCTTCTTCTTCTTTAGAACTTTCGTAAGTGAAACACATGCACGATTTTAACGATCGATCGACTTTCGAAGAGAGTTGTGCACTTAAGAGAGAAAGAGAGAGAGAGAAAGAGAGAGAGATCGGTTAGATCAAGTTAGATTAAAAAGATTTATAGCTATGGTTATACGGAGAAACACCTGCGATGTATACCTGCATATATATATATATCTCTGTATATATGTACATGTATATATCCTATTTCATTTTATCTCAAGTAAAGCAATTATAGAAGGATGTTTATAGAAACGATGCTGTATACGTAATATACGATTATATCAAAAAAATACATATACATATATATATATATATATACACGTGTACATATTCTTTACTGAAAGTTTAACTCGTTTATTATATATTATTGGTCTTTCTTGTTTTGTTTCCTTATATATGAAACTGATATATTTATACACGTTTATGAGAAAAGTTTATACAGTAATAATATTTAAATTTAATCTAAACTTATCTATTATAATTTTTTTTATATTTTTTTTTTTTTATTATAATATTCACGCAAATATTAGTGCAATATTACCACGTTTCATGCTCCCTAAAAAACAACCCTTTTTAACCGACTTCAAAAAACAAGGAGAAGGAGGTTCTAAATTCGACTGTATTTTTTTTGTATGTTCGTTACTTCAAAACTTTCGACTTGGGTGAATCAATTTTGATGAATTCTTTTTTTATTTGAAAGCTGATGCTTCCCGTGTGATCCCATTTCAATTTGTTAACTGACTTGTCATTCATGTACAGTACAATTTAACGTGTACCACCGGTGGTACACATGACACGAAACGTGTTAAATACATCGAACAAACACGTGTCAGTAATAATTTATAACAAACAAACAAAAAAAACAATAATAATAATAATAATAATAAAAACAATCTAGATAATAGCATAATCTCTTTACGAATCATAAAGAAAAAAAAAAAGATAAAAATAAATGATATTTCCCCAGGTAGAATTGTATTTTTTTCTTGATGAAAAAAAAAAAAAAAGAAGAAAAATAGAAAAAGAAATAATAATGATTGACAAGAACGATACGTTGCAAAAGGTAAATTCATTGTTACAAATAGCAGCTGATCCTATATGTATGTATGTGTGTGTATGTGTGTGTGAGTGTGTGTGTGTTATTGACAACGACGACAATGTTGTTACGCATTGCGAACATTAACCTACGTGCTTCGTGATCGGCACTAAAGTATAATTAGTATTAGCAAAGCACTAGACTACGAGGTGTAATAAATTACAGTGAGAGCTTTGAACGTGAGTAAAGGAAACGAACTATCATCATCACACTTACTTTTGCGTTTTTTCCCTTTCATGCTTATTTTTATATTTTGTATTATGTATTGTGTTTATATACGTGTATAGGTATATCGTTATTGACCACATGAGAGACATACCGATATAAATAACAATTCATATTTCTTTTCGTTCGGATAACATCATTGTAGGTGTTCTGTAGTATTTGAAAATTACTATAATTAGTTTTAAACCTAATTTAACTATTTTGATGTAATAATGATATACAGTTTGTAGGAGTAATATCAAACGAAAGATAGGAATAGGTGTGCAATATATATATATATAAAAAAAAGAGATAATTATATTTTTGTTATCAAAAGAATATTAGAAAATTTTACATTTTTTTCTTTTTTTTTTGTATTTTTTGAATGTCAGATTGAAATGGAATGTGTGATTGAAATATTAATTATTTTTTTTTTTTAAATACGTACAAATATTGAAAAAATAAATATTTAATATTTATATATTATTATATATTAATATTAATTTTAAAATATATATTTTATAATATATAATATATATTTATATTATATAAATTTAATTAAATTATAACATATACAAATATATTATATATAATATATAATTAATATAATAATTATTTATATAATTATATATATATTATATTATTAATTTTATATAATTAATATATTATATAATATATTACATATTATAAAATATATTTTATAATTAATAATATATATTTATATATTATTATATATTATTATATAAATTTTTGATACAATTAAAAATATCAAACAAGTTGCATTATGTTTGCATAGAAAAAGTATTCTGTTTATTTTTTCTTTTATTCTTTTTTTTTTTTTTTTTTTTTTTTAAACAAATCGATGATTCCTGAAAGCATTAATTTCTTTGTTTTTATATAGAAAATATCTTACGTTTCTCTGAATTTATGTAACAGTTTCAAACATATTTTATCTACAGTCTGTGCATCATATACAAACGTTCATTATGAAAGTGGTTTAAACCCATTTGCAAAGAAAAATATATAATTTTCATAAATTATAAATAAAACAAAAAAAAAAGAAAACAAAATATCATGACAATTTTCTCAATTTTATTTTATTCAATAACATACTTAACCCACTTTTATAATAAACGATCCAATTATATTCCCCTATCCCATGTATATTACTTTTCTCTGTATTGATTTATATACAACTACTTATATACTCTCTTTCTCTCTCTCTCTCTCTTTCTCTCTCTCTCTCTTCCAAGAGACATTATTGTTAAGATACAAAGATGAAAAGTTACACAATAGATATTTCCGATAGTAAAGGAACGTAGGGAGAAAAAAAAATAAATTCTACTTTGAATTCCTTTTAAACGATGTTTTCAATACAAAGAGATGAAGAAACGTAACACGTTCATTTGTTGTGAATAGACCTTAAGGTTTGCACGAGATGCATATCCACCAATCGAGCGGCACTCCTCGTCTGAGATTGAAACACGGAAGCCCTAAGGCCAGAGTTAACGGTGAATTGGTGCATTCTCGCGATCTTACAACTACATACAACATATATACTTTTATACATACATATATATATAAATATACATATACATGTATAGATACATGGATCGACAAAGATCGCATCTTTCAACTTGTATATGTGTGTTTGAGCACTGAACTCACACGTGCAACTTTCGATTCCACGGTACGTTTTCAATATGATGAGAATACGTTGAAAAATGCGAGACATCTTTCTCTCTCTTTCTCTCTTACGATTTGAAAATATCAAGAGAAAGAGAGTGAGAGAGTTAAGAGAGAAAGAGAGTGTAATATCGTGACTCGATATTCCTGACGAATGTCTAACTATTAAAAATTTAATAAACGTGCGGAAAACGAACTCGTCCATGGTTAAAATGGATTCTTCTTCTTCTTCTTCTTCTATTTCTTATTTTGTTTTTTTTTTTTTTATTGGAAGTATTTATAAATATATACTTGCTATATGAAGAATTTGAAGAATTTCATAATTGTTTATATACGTGATAATATGATAAACTATAATTAAAGTAACTGGAAAGAGTTATTAAGGGGACCTTCTACTCTGAGCACCTAAAAAAAAGGCTATTTTCGCGAATTTTTTCCAAGAAAACTATAAAAGATATCGATCTAAAAGTTGTTGGGTTTGTTAAATTGAGTCTTAAACTATATAAAT